TATTGTTTTCCTTTTGCAATTACTGCGGCTGTTCACTGACCAGGAGAAACGCTGGAAGCATTTTGTTACCCAAAGGTGACTTGGAAACGTAACCCTGCGCTGTGCTTTCCCTTTGGAGTTAATTCACCTTCCATCAGCCCTGCTCTTTGTGTGCTGTGCGTCTTAAACCCACGGGCGACCTTCCCTCTGTGTGCACAAGCAGCATGCGGGCACTGCACCGTTCATGGCAGCTCTGGGACCAGCCATACCAAGTGTGTGGGGCTGGCCGGGGTCTGGATGCTGGTGCTGGGATGAGCACCACCGGGAGATGAGGACCTATTTGGGTAACGTCGGGTGGGTGCTGGCATTCCTGAGCTCCCATGAGGATACAGGAGTAGAATAGCTCATCCCTTCCTGGAGCAAGGAGGAAGAGGTGGTGTGAGCAGGGGGACTCTGTCCTCTGTGCCTGACATTGGGGTCTCTTTGAGGGTGGAGCGTGTGCTCACGGCTGGTGCCTGGCCTTGGGCTTTTTCAGCAGCTTCATTCCCACCATTCGTGCCAGCCTGAGCAGTTCCTCTCCAGCAACAGCCCATATTTCTTTCATGCCTCTGTGTCAGCGCGGACACAAGTCCCCTTTTAACCCTGTTGTGGAAAAGGACTGTGCTGCTCCATGGGCTGGAAATCCCATTACATCCCTGGGGTTCATGGGGACTGGTCGCAGTGGGCACATGGGCCGTGGTGGGCTCCTGCTTCCTGCCGGCTCTCCCCAGCTGGGAGCTGCCCATTACTTTGTGTAGTTTGAAAGCTGGATGTGACGGCTGAGGCGGAGCGGGTGTTTCCTCTAACACAAAGCACACCGAGCCCAGGCTGTGTCTGCTCTGCTTTCCCAGGCTGATCCCAGGTTTCCTGAGATCTGATGTCTTTAATGGAGCTGTGTGGGGAAACGAAAAATCTCACTTTTTCTCAGAAAAGGGAAAAGAAAGAAACCCAATTGATGGGAGCTTTAGAAAGCCCAAACTCGTGGCTTTGGAGGTTTACACAGACAGGCAGTGGATGCAAACCCTGCGTGTGTTTCTGTGTTGGGATCTTGTCAGTTGTTGCATTGTGGCTCAGACCGTTTGCTCCTGGGCTCAGCAGTGACCAAGTGAGTGCCACTGCCCTCCCTTTCCAACGCCAGGGGTGCTGGTCCCACTGCCCGGCTTCCTCGGTGCCATTGCAGGATGTTCTAGTGATGAAAAGATTTGAAGTTGTCCGTGAGTGCTTCCTGCCCAGCTCTGCCTCCTGCTGCTGGGGGGATGCAGTGGGAGATGCCCATTGCTGCTGCTGCTGCTCCACGTGTGAGCGATGATGGGCTGAGTTCTGTGCTTCCACCCGGGGAAACTTGGGAACAGGCAGTAGATAACTTGCTGCCACGTTCCCCGCTCCAGCTGAGGTAGGTGACAGGGGAGCCAGTTAACTTGGCAGTTGTGGAGAAAACCTTTGGAGTCCTAAAAAGCCCCCAGGCTCAAAGCCCTGGACTAATCCAGTGGAGCAAGATTTGTAGCTCTTCCCAGGTATGCTGGACATCCCAGGAATGCTGTGTAACCTGGGCTATGCTGCTAGCAGGGGGCTGTCATGCTCTGCTGTTGGAGGAAGGTGTCCACCTGAGGATCGAACCTTCCTGTTAGGACTCTGGCTTTCATTGCAGGGTTTGGAGTGGCCATGTTGAGCAGGGCTGCAGTAGTGAGGGCCCATCCCATTGGGATTTATACCAGCACTGGGTGACACAGTTGTTCCCTGGGGTGCCCAGAGCAATGGGCTGTGGCCAGGGAGGCACAGGGGCCTCGAGAGTGTGGCCATCCCATGGGACCTCTGTCTTTCTGCCTGCTCCCCACAGGAAAAAGGAGCACGTCAGGGGCTTCCCTCCTGTGCCACCGGCTCGGGGCTGCCTGGGTGAGGGATCAGGATCACAGCGCTGGGAGGTTCCGAGGGGATGTCAAGTACATGCGATGTGCCCGGCTCCAGAGCATGAAGCTGGGGCCACTGTGGCCATGTTGCTGTGGGTGAATGGTGGTTGTTTTCCTAAGGCAGCAGCCAACTGAAGCACAGGGATCTGTGTCATTTGGGCACTGCAGGTGGGATGGAGCTGTGCAGTGTGTGCGATGGGATGACCAGAGAGCACATCGTGTGGCAGTGGGAACTGTAGGGGCACGTGCTACCCCCAGATCGGGCATTTCAGGATGCAGCAGTTTTCCTGCAAGCTGTGTGTGTGCCATAAATAAATACGTGTGTGCTTGTGGTTACGTTACCATCTTGGAGCAGTTGGGACCCCTGGGCAGCAAGCATCTTTCCAGTGCAGGAAAAAGAAAGGGAAGCAAATGGTGTGGAAATGCATAGCAAATTGGGCTGCAAGACGCAGCAGGGCTCTCCCCACTGTGTGACCCCCAGCCCCAGGGAAGGGAATGAATTATTTGGGGGCAGGAGGGCGGGGGGAGATGCAGGATTCCATGGAGCGGGAATCTCTGCACAAACCAGCGCCGGGTCTGCTGGAGAGGCCAGGCAGGGCTTTGTTGGTTGGGCAAATGTTTGGTGGAAATGTGACACAGCGAAAGTGCACGAGGTGTGAGATGCAAAGGAAGGGCTGGGAAAGCCCTTTAAGGCCTTTGTAAGGCTTTAAAGCCTTAAAGGCTTTCCTTAAACTGGACAGTGTCTTCCAGAAACCTAGGGGTTGTGGGGCTAAACATCCTCACCCCACGGTGAAGGATCTGTCTCACCCCTCCAGCGTGGGATGTGAAGCATCTGCATCCCGGGGCTGTTTTGGAGGAAAGGGCCAGAAGATGGAAGTGAGTGTGTGATGTGGCTCTCCGGGGCATCACTTGGTGCAGCCCCAGGGCTGCAATGGGCGCCGGGAGCACCCCGGGGCCAGCAGCTGCCCGAGGTGGGTCCTGGAGTGTGCAGCAGCAGGGACTGGGTTCTCCCGTGGGAGCCACCGGGACCCGACGGAAGCCGATGGCTCCCGGCGAGCGCGAGTTAGGGGAGATGCTCAGCGCCCCCCGCCCCGCCGGTACCGGGCTCTCCGGGGAGAGCGCGGCTCGGGAGCCCTCGCCCGCCGGCTGCCGGTACTGCACCGGTATAGCCGGCAATGCACCAGCGGCGCACCGGGACTGACCCGGTATTGCATCGGTGTAGCCCTAAATACTTTTGCAGTACGGATCTTGGAGTGCCCTGTTCAAAGCTCCCTTTCTGTTCCCCCCCGCCCCTCTCCGAGCAGCAGGAGCTGCTCCAAGGTACGTCTGTGATTTCGTGGGCAAGGGGAATCTTTCTGGTAGGGGTTCAGCAGGTTCGTTCTTCAACTGAAGCAGTGCCCGCTCCAGAGAGGTTTTCCTGTCAGAGCCCTGTCTCACTGGAGCGCTGCCTGCTGAATCCGGAGCTGAATTTCCATCCACAGCTGAGGCAAACCCCAGCTGTCAGGTAGGATTCCTGCTAGGAGGTTGGTTGGCCACTATAAGCTCCGTGTTACCTGCCTGGGGCTAGGAGCTAGGATGGGACCAGCCCTACAAGCATCCTGCTCTGTACCAGTTGCATCCGACTCTGGGCACCCAGTGAGCTTTGGCACATGGAGCCTGGCAAAACTGAGTGATGAGCTCTGCAGGGCTGGAACTGGATGAGCTTTAAGGTCCCTTCCAACCCAAACCAGTCTGGGATTCTATAGGGCAGCTGCTGCACTATTATTATTGCTGTATTTGCAATAGCATCTGCAGCGCTGGCCCCTGTGCTCCCCTTTCAGAGCCTCGCCGTGGTTCTGTGCCGGGCTCGGAGTGTGCTGCAGGCCTGACCCCCACCCCCAGCACGGTTTCAAGCCAAACATTTTCTTCCTGTTTTCCCAAGCGCGTCTCCTGTTTCATGGGCTGGTGAAGGCGATGCGGGAAGGCGCTGTGCGAGTCTCTATGGCAACAGATGTTTATCGAGCCCATGAGATGAGGCACAGGGCTGGGGAGCTTCAGCCTCTGGGATGGGGTCTGGGGACCTGCCCCCATAATGCCCCATGGAAGAGCCAGCAGCAGGGCTGGGACGGGGCATCCTGCAGGTGGGTTTTTCCCATTATTTTTCTCCACAGCTGTAAGGGACAGGCAGAGCGGTGCTGAGGGCACCCAGGGCTCTTGGGGCAGGGGCTGGAAGCACCGATTGACTTTGGGATCCCTTCGAGGCTCCCAGGCTGGAAGACTGCCTTTGCCCAGTGCCATTTTCAGGAGGCTCCTGGTACTTTCAGACAAATACATTTAATTGCTTTGAATGCTCAACATGTTTTAACTGTTCCTGGTCCAACCCACGCTGGTTGGACAGGGCTTGGAGCAAGCTGCTCTAGTGGAAGGTGTCTCTGCCCCTGGCAGGGGATTGGAACTGAATGAGCTTTAAGGTCCCTTCCAACTCAAGTCTGCGATTGTATGATACCTTGAGCCGATGGAGACGTTGGGGTAGCGCAGACCTTGTCAAAGTCAGACTGGGCATCAGCATATCCCAGTGAGCACCCCAAAGCTTGGGAGAGGCATCTCCCCTGGGATTCAGTCATCTGTGAGGAGCATGAATCACTCATGTGGGGAGGTTTTGGGAACTCTGCAATGATCTGAGACCAGGATTGGTTGTCTTCATGATCTGCATCCCTCCTCATCTCCTCTGGTAGAGTTACCTAGAAGCCGGGGGCTGTCAAGATAGGAGAGCACAGCACTGCATGTGGATTTCAGGTACATACAGCCTGTGGGTATCATTGGGAATGTGCCATGCTGAAGATGGGATCGGGAATTACTTGTCCTGATGGGTCTTCAGTCACAGTGAAGGCATGGAGCAGACTGATGGTGTCAAGGCCAACCTGGGCAGTAAAAATCCCTCTGCTGGGTTGCCAAGGGTCTGCCGTGCTCCCGGGAGCGGGGAGTGGTTTCACAGAGGGAGAAACCACAAAGGAGTGGGACAGGTGCCTCCTGCCTGGGTAGGAACACCCAGGGGCTCCTCTGGATGTCCCCTACCTCAGTTGCCTCTGACGGGCGTCAGCGCTTTCCTCCCCAGCATCCCAGCACCAGAGCGATGCCCAGCACCACCGGCAGGTCCTGTGCGGGCGGCAGCGGAGCCCTGGAACCTGGAGGGGGGTCAGCGTTAGCCTGGGGCCAGGAGAGCGGCAGCGCCGGGTCCCACCCGCGCCCGGGGAACCGGCACCCGCAGCCGCCCGCTCCGCGGCGGCGGCGGAGACCGCCAGGGGTCGCTGTTCCCGCGGGAATCCCGGTGGAGCGCGACCGGTGCCCCCGGGCGGCTCCGGTGCCACGGACCCGCCCCGCGCGGGTCCTTACGTGCCCACAGCGCGGCCGGTGCCGCGGCCCCACTCACGCAGCATGGCCTTGATGGGCTCCAAGGAGCCGTCGTGGGGCTCGGGGGTGATGCCCAGCAGCCGGCAGAGGAGGGCGTAGACGTTGACGCTTTCAAAGGGCTCCGCCACCAGCCCCTGCTTGAAGGCCGGTCCCACGGCGCGGAAGATGGTTTTCATGTTCATGGCCTCATTGTCAAAACCGTGCTCCCCTTTGTTGAACTGGACCTTGTACCTCTGAAAGGGAGAGGGAAGATGTGAGTGCCCAAATCCCCAGCCTCAAGCTAGGTGCTCTCCTCCATGCCATGTTTCCCAGCCACTGGGTTTAACACTCATTTCTTTAGTTTCGGAAGTCTGGAAGCTGGAGGGTGCTGCCCAGACACAGCTCTTGTGCAATCACATCTTGCAAGTTCCCTCCCTAAATGTCAGGGCATCCAAATTTTGGTGTATTGAGGAGCTTTGCAGGGAGAAGCTGCCTTTGGGCCTTAAAGCTGGGTTAGGAGAGGACCCTGAAATTGATATTCTGTGTTCATGCAAGTCCTGCTTCAAGACTTCTGGACCTTTTGTCTTCTGAACAGAGAAGATCTTTACACAGAGCTGGAATTGCCATGTGGTTATAGGGAGGTGAATCAATGGAGTGTGAGTGCTGGGGTTCTATGAGGACAGAGGAGAGAGGCAGATCCCCACAAGACAGTAAGATGTGTCTGTGCATAGGTCTTACCCCGTGGATCACATAGCCTGGATCACTGTACAGCAAGAGCGGGGTGATCCGAGAGTGGTTGGCATAATGGAATCTTCTTGGGAATTCCGCTTTCTTGTACACGTGGAGGTTTGGGTGGGCGTTTTTGAGGACTGAGTACACATGCTCTAATTTTCCTTCTTTTGGTACCAGCAGTCCATTGGGTCCATAATCTAAGAGCTCGAACTGGATGTCTTTGAAGGTGAAGTTCTCTACAGTCTGGATGTGAATCTCGTTGGTCTTTATGACAGCCTCCATGCCGTGATCAGATGTGATGATGAGGTTGAGGTTTGACTCCAGGCCGCTCTCCCGGATGCGCTGCCTCAAGTAACCAATGGTTCTGTCCACCTGCCTGACCATGTTTTTCCTCTGCGTGGATTCGGGGCCGTACTTGTGCCCTGTGGAGTCCGGCTCACCAAAGTAGAGGGCGATGAAGTCGAGGTTGTTCACCGTGAACCATTCCATCGCGGTGTCGATGTTCTGCCTCCAGTTGGTTTCATTGCTGTAGTTGAACAGGAGGGGCTCCACCAACTTCATATTCACTTCCTCCCCTTGGTACTTTGCTTTTCCTCCAGGGAAATAGATAGAGCCTGTCTTTAAACCCTGTTAGTGAAGACATTGCACAAACTCACCTGAGCTCACTCTGCAGCATCATCTCCATCCATCAGCACTACCACCTACTAATATGGTTAGTTCATTAAGCCCCCTAATGTCTACCTCTGCTTCTAATGAGGTTTTGCTTATTGCCAATTAAAAGTGATTAATTGGAAGTTCTGCCCTTCCCAGAACTCCTGCCTGTTGGTTTCTCACTGTATCGGTAACACTGGTTATAACTTTGGACACAGTGACCTGTTTGTACCTCTCATGGACCTGCCGGCTCTTGGCCATGAGGATGTGCAGGTGTGTTTTACTCCAGTCAGTAAGTGCTCACCCTGAAACCAGTGGAGCCAATTTGGCAGGTAAATACAGGCAAAGGGACATGTCTTGGGCCAAGCCTCAGGTCCTGTCCCAAAGTCAGGTTCAAAGCCTAAGGGGATCTAGGACAGCCTTGCAGCAGTCCTGGCTCCTGGTCCTCCCTAGGGAGCTGGCTGAGGTTTCTTTAACAGCAGCAGAATAACCAGTTTCATTAATGTCTTAATGGAGCTGAAACAAAAATACTACTTTTCGCTATTTTGAATAGAATGATCGTAATTATTCCTGCGCTGTCTGGGCTTCCAGTTCCTGCAGGTCTCATTACGTGCTGTTTGCAGGAGGTGTCAGCTCGTGGCCCCTGGAGATGGGGGCTCGCCTGCAGCTTTTACTGCAGGAGGCTGCATCCCGCAGGGTGGTGGGTGCGAGGCAGGGGCTGCACTTGCCTGTCTCTGTGCCGTGATCCAGATGGGCAGGCTGCCGTTGTCCCACCAGCTGTCCACCCCTTGCGTGCTGTGGTAGGGCAGCTTCTGACCCGTGCTGGTGTCAAACCACATGTTGTGGATCACCCCGTGGTTCTCCAGGTATCTCCCTGTGGGGAGAGATGGGCTGAGTGGGGCTGTGGATGGGGGGGGTTCTTCCTCTCCTTCCCCTCCCAGCTCTCCCTCTGCCTCCTTCCTCCTCTGCCTTGTACCAGGGGGAGTTCCCAGGGCAGGGAATGATGCCGGGGGGTGCCTGCTCCTCACGTCAGGGGTTGATGCCAAGCAGGTCTCATCTGGGCCCCAAGCACCCCTGAAAGTGCTGGTGCTGCCTAAGATTGCCCCTGCCCTTCTCAGCATGAATGGGGCTGCCCGTTATCCTGTGTCTCACTAATGGCTTTGGTGTTTTGCTCTCTCTGCTGCTCACAGCAGAGGTGGGCATGCAGTAGAAACTCCCTTTAGAAATGGCAGACTTGCCCTCTGTACTATTATATTTCATGCTATTATTATTATTCTGGTCCCGAAGACTGCAGTTACTTGTGCACTGTATCCCCATCCTCCCTTGCATTGACGGTGCCTTTTCCCATCAGCAGATTTCATTAGCATGTTCCACTCTTTTATGCCAAGGTTATTAATTAAAATCTTAAATAAGATTGGCTCTGAAATCGATTCCTCAGGAATTCCCCTGTTGCCCTCCCTGCAGCCCGACAATCTCCTCTCAGCATCACCTGCCCTCCTCTCCCCTGTAGCTCTGTACTTCCCATATTAGAGATTTTGTATGGATCTTCATCTTCTCCATCTTAACTAATGATTTCCCATGTGCCACTGGATCCAATACTTACTGAAGTCCAGACAGATTACATTTAGAGCGTCTCCCTTGTCTCAAAAATAATTTATCTTATTGAAGGAGGCTCTGGGCTGGGCTGCTGCTATTTACCTTTGATAAAGACAGATTCAGTTCTATCCCTTCTGCAGCTCTTGCCTTCTCACACCCTGAGTGGGGAATCTGGGTTAGGACAGTATTGTATGGAATGTTATGTTGTGTTGGTGCCTTTGTAATTAGATTTGAGTGTTTGCAGTGCTGTAGCATGTGTTGTACTCAAATATGTACATGGATTAAAGGCTATCGATCTTCGGCACCTATATAATATACGTAGTGTAGGTGTACTGATAAAAACAAAGGGAGGACACTGCAGGAGAGGCTAATTTGTGCCACAGCTCAGCACTAGGGCTTAAAGCAAAGGAAGCCTCAGGCTGCTTCAATTGTACTTTAATCTTGTTTGTGGCCCTGGCAGATAGGGAGGTAGAGGTAAACTTTAACTGCAGCTATCATGGGACGAAAGAGAAGGAAATCACAGAACCACGCGATGGTTTGGGTTCAAAGGGACCTCAAAGCTCCTCCAGCTCCAAGCCCCTGCCGTGGGCAGGGACACCTTGCTCCGAGCCCCATCCAACTGGGCCCACCTCTCCAGCCTGTTGAGGTCCCTCTGGATGGGACCAAATGGGATGGAGAAATGTCTCACATCAAAAAGGCTGTTTGGAGGCTGCAAGAGAAGACCCCAGACTGTGAACAGGACTGGATGAGCAGAGGTGCCACTGAGAAATGAAGCAACCTGTAGAGACTATAAATCCAGTAAAAACTGCCAGGCACCCAGCTCGAGCTGCTCATTGCATGCATTAGGAGTAAATCTGTGCAAAAGAGTTAATCTGATATGTTGTTAAAGCAGAACTTAGGGTGAGCTCTGCTGGGGTGGCCTCTATAATTCCTACCATGATCTAGGTGGTGGCTGCGTAATTCCTACAGCATCTGGCGCTGTTTGCCTGGGCTCAGTACAGGTCCAGCTCTACCACTTTCTGCAGCAGTTGTTGCCTGGTCTCCATTCTCCAGCTTCTCACGCTGCTGATGCTGGGTGGCTGCTTGACTTCACATCCTTCACTGATACCCAAGCCTCAAACCTGCCCTTCCCCAGCCTGCACTGCTGCCGTGCGCTTGGGGCTGGGGGCACTCACCGCTCAGTAGTGTGAAGTGGCACGGGCTGGTGACGGTGATGAAGGCAGGAGTCATGTACTGAGCCTTCACCCCCTCTGCAGCCATAGCGTCCAGGTTGTGGGTGTCCACGTCCTGGTCGTAGTTCCACCGAAAGCCATCAAAGGACACCAGGAGGACTTTGCTGCGGCTGGGAACCTGCTGCACAGGGATGCATCTTGCTACAGAGAGAGCAGCAAATAGGAACCCCAGTGAAGGGAACATCTTCATGCCCTTGAGCTGGAACAGCCCAGACACCCAGAGAGCTCCCATTAATACATGCGGGGTGGCACCAAGTTCAGTTCTTATCTAATCTGGCAGTTGCTGATCAGGTGCATGGCTTCAGTCAGCACTTCACATCGGAATGAGCCTCTCTAGATTTCGTCTAACTCAAGTGCATTAACTTCCATCTCCTGGGTCAGGCACTGGACCTGCCTCCTCCATCAGTGGCGTTGGGTGCTCTGCCAGTGCTGAGGGGAAGACCCGCTCCCGTGGCAGGAGGCTGCCTGTGTGAAACCTGCCTCCCCCCAGCGCCTGCCACCTCCTCCTCCCTGAGCTGGCTCCCTGCAGGTTGGGCTGCCCTGCTCTTGGGTCAGCAGTTCAGCTTCAAAAGGCAACTCTCCCCCTGTCAGGGCCGCTCCTCCACCTCCAGAGGGCTGCTCAGGGGTTCCAGAGGAGCTTGGATTTACTGGAGGTTCTCAGTGTGGTTTTGTGGAGCTACACACTGGGGAAAGAGGCTCTTTCCTGATCCTGGCCACACCATCAGCCCCCAGGGATGCTGCAGAGGGTGAGCCTGGCTCAGAAGCCTCTGTGTGCCACCACCCAGCTCCTGCTGTCCTGGCTCTGCTGCTCACCATGGGTGACCCTCATCTGCTTATTCACTGATGAGCTGTGTGTTATCAGCATCCCGTTTTATCAATAGCTGCTGCTTTATGACTTCTCTGGGGTTTAATCATTGCTGACAACCCATTTCTCAGCTGAGTTTAAGGCTTTTGTGTATATATGTATCAGAGGTTGCCCTCGTTCCCCCGGGTCTGAGCTCACAGCCTTTGTGTCTTTGCTGAGCTCCCTCGGCTCAGGTTCCAGGTTTATTCCTTGGTGCTTTGCTTCCCAATTGCCCAACCATCCCCTCCCTCGCCATGCAGAGCCATGGTTTCCCTGGCATTGTCTGGGCTCATCCCTTGGCATTTCTGCCCCGGGGGTGAGCTGGGCAGATGAGTCTCACACACATGCCACCATTCGTCCTTCCTGCTTCTCTGTAGGCATGAGCATCCCTGAGTATTCCCATCTGGACCAGTTCCTCAGGGTGCATCAACATCTCGGTTGCCTCTTCCCCTGTGCTTGTGTTTCTCAGGGTCGTGCAAGGACACTGTGAGAGGTTTGAGTTCACAGGAGCTGAGCAGCCTCCTCTGCCAGCCCTGGTGCTGCAGTTCACTCAAGGACTATTTTGTTATCAGCGTTTGCTGCCCTGGGTCCAATACTGTCCTTCCAGCAAGGACAGAGGGTCCTGGCAGGCACTGAGGGTTTAAAGGGCTCATATGATAAAGATGTTATCATGTACCAAGCACAGGGAAAGTTCTAAATATTCAGTGTGTTGTTCTGAGGTGGGTCAATAAGTGTCCATGCCATTGCTAACAGCGCAGGGGAAGGTCCCGATAAGTTATCGTGTTCATCAGCTCGGCTGGGAGGGAAGAGGCTAGAGAGGAGGCAGCACTGCTCTAATCTCAGAGGAATATGCAGTAACAGGAGTGTCTCAAGGCCCCTTCTGATATTTGGTATCTGACGAGCAATAGGCACAGATAAAGAGCATCACCTTTGGCCACCCTGCCTGGGAACGCTGTCATCCTCCAGTTAAAAGGGCTGATGTGGTTTATCTTGCACTAAGGCGCTCATCCATAGGCAGATGTGCCCAAGGGGCTGTGGTCACTCCAGGTCACATCTGCACTAACTGGGGAAGGTGGTCCCTGTGCAGGTGTGTTCGGGCTGAGAATGCCCCCCCCCCCCCATGCTTGGGTACCAGATAACTCAGAGAAAGATGAAGGGGCTGGAAAATAGAAATCAGGAGCCCAGAGAAGTCTCCTGCCACTGGAACTGCCCTGTTTGGCTGGGGTCAGGGGCTCAGCCCATTGCCAGCCTTTGGAAAAAGCAATGTGCCCAGCACCCTGTGGGTAAAGCCGCAAATTCCCTGCAGCTGGTGGGGTCTGTGCAGGGGGAGCAGCTCGGTCAGGCAGGACCAGGCCATTTTCCTTCTTCATTTTTTACTTTCAAAGGGAAAATCAACCTGCAGGATTCTCAGCTGTGGCCACAGCTGCTCCCAGTGATGGGACTGATGATGCCGGGGCCTCACAGCTGAGCCTGGCTGCAGGGAGGTGCTGGGGCTACTATAAAAGCCCTGCACACCCTCTAGAGCACTTCTGGTGTTGCTGTGCCTGAGTGCAGAGGGAGGAAGCGCTGGGAATGGGAAGGATGGCAGAGCCCTGGGTCTGAGCCACTTCGGGAGAGGTAGGATGGACATTTGTGGGGTCTTTGGGAGGGTGTGTGGCTGCTGTCCTGGGGGAAGGGCTGAGCTGCAGCCCCCTCCCCGGCATTGTGCAGTGGGAAATAGGGCACTTGGACATGGAGGATTCGTTGATGAAAAGCAAGTTTGGTTTTTCTTTTCCTTGCCTTACTGTCCTGCTTGGAGCAGCTCTGCTCTGCAGATTGGTTGCATGGTCCTGGTTGCTAAGGTGTTGCATATGGAGCTTGTTGGAAAGAGGGTGAAGGGAGGGGGAAGATGTCTGGGAGGGTGAGGAGAGAGTTGAATAAAGCAACTGGAGGTGCCCTGGGTTGCTCTTTGTGTGGTATAGCTCAGACAAGGGCTGCATGTCCGCAATGCTTTTCTTGGCCCCCAGCATGTGACTGCCCCGGAACCTGGGCCTGGGTAAGCTTGTGAGCACCACCGGGATACCTGGAGCTGGGATGTCCTGGTTCAAGTCCTAATGGTGCCCAGGCGAGCAGAGCCAGGAGGAGCTCTACAGCTGGGTCTGAGTGGTTGTGAGGGGTGTGTGAACCTACTGTGTGTGTGGTGGAGCTGTGGGAGCTGCTGGGGATGGGAGGCAGCAGGGGTAGCTGGGTAGAGCTGATGGGTGTGGAGCAGCCCCAGCAGGTGATAAAAGAACTGGTAACGGCCTCAAGGCCAGGAGCAGAGCGGTAGGGGTAGGGTGGTGCTGTTCGTAACCAAAAGCCAGGAGCAGCCCCAGGCTCGGCTGGAGCGCTGAGGAGAAGGGTGCTCCCGCCGGGCAGCTCGGGAAGACTGGAAAAGGCTTAAGGAGGTTGGGAAAGAGGCTTCGGCTGCTGCCGGGAGCTCTCGAGCAGGGCTTGGGTGTCGGTACCGGAGTTCGGGTCTTATCCCCATGAACCTGCCCCCTCGGACCCCCCGATCCGCGGCAGCGCGGGCCTGCGCCGGACCCGGCCGCCAGGTGGCGCTATTAACCCGCCGGCGGGGTCTCGGGGCGTCCCGAGGGAGCGGCGGGTCCTGCGGCAGCGGGCGGGGGTCCCGGTGGTGCCCCATCACCCCCTCGGGAGTGCCCTCTTCTCTCCCGCAGTGCCTTAACCCCTGGTAATTCCCCCCCATCCCCGAGTGTTGCTCGTTGGGTCCGGAGGGAGGGACGTGTGGGGAGGGAGCTGGGCTGGGTCTGATGGACACGTGGTCAGTGTTTGAGGCTAAGCAGGGGCAGGTGATGCAGCACCGTGACCCCCACATCCCAAGCCTGGGTCACCCCCAGTTGGGCCCATCATGGGGCTGCGGGCTCTGGGAAGCGGGATGGTGCGCAGCCTGCAGTGGCAGTTGTAGGGTCTGGTGACACGTGTGGATGAAACACATGCCCTGTGCTGCGAGAGGGCCGGGAGCAGCCTTCTGGGATCAGGGCTCTAAGTTCAACCCAGAGGAGAAGGGAGCCTGCCATTGAGTTGCTGCTTTATTCTTCTTCATGGGTGCATGCAGAAACTCTGCCTAAAGCACAGCCCCAGGGTCAGCAGCACCTCTGTTTACATGGGTTGGTGCAAGACCTTCTTGGGAGGGTGACCTCTTCACCATCTAGTTTGAAGCTCTTCCATGAGGTGGTCCTTGGGGAGCAATCCAGCACAGAGCTTGAGGTGAGAATAGGGACAAGAGCAGAGAGGAAAGAGTGGGGTGGGTGAGGCTTTGCTCACAGAAGTCCCATATCCCCTTCTGGGGCAATGGCCAGTGCCTGAAGTTCACTGGAGCCTTTCGTCCACTGGAGAAAGCCCCTGGCTCTTGCTCTCCATGCCCAAGTGGTGTCCCTGGATGATGATGAGGTGCTCTAGAACCTCTTCCTTGCCAGCAGTGGTCCCATTCCCTCTCTTGCCCTCATCACCATGATGAATACCTGGTCTACAGTCCCAGCACCAGGCTTTGGCCTTGGCTCCTCTTCCTGCTCCCTGTTGGGGATTTGAGCCCAGAGGAGCAGCATGGGGTCAGGCTCTGCTCCCCACTTGGAACCTTTCCTCTGCTGCTTGGTTAAACCCAGCATTGACTGCTCCATCAGAGCCTGGGGCTCTTTCTCAGCTTTCTTAGCTAATGGCTGTGTCTGCCTCCCATTGATCTCAGCTGCAGAGCTCATTGATTAAGTACATTTCTTATTATACTTAATGATATTTTACTCCTTTCTGTGCTTGCCTTGTGCCAGATGCTCACCCTGTGCTGCTGCTTGCCTGGAGGAGAATTCCTCTGGTCAGAGAGACTGGTCACAGCCTCCTCTATGCTGGCTCTGCTTGCCTCCTCAGTCACCAGCCTTGCCTGCCTTCCCTTCTGCTTTCTCTGCCTCCCCCATCCTCCTGGCCAGGGCAATCCCTCTGCCTTCCAGTTCTTTGCCCCTTGGTCCCTGCTCCCATGCCCCCTCTCAGGTCTGCTTCTCTCTCAAGCAAAGCAAAGAGGCATCCACTGTTCCCAATGCTTCAGGAGGGCTGTGAGCCTCCTGGGCACCCTGTGCTGTACCCTGCCTCTGCACAGCAAATCCTGCCTCTCACTGGGCTGCCAGGGACTTTACACTGAACTCCTTTCCATCCTGGTGGTGCCTCCCTCACTGGTGCTCTCCCAGCCCTGGTGAGAGGCACTGGCAGCGCACCGTGTTCTCCTTTGCCTTCCCTCAAACACCTCCATACTCACCTCACACCACACAAGCTGTGCGGCCTCGCTCTGTGTCTCACCTCCTTTCAACTCCCTT